TGGTCTTACCTTCTCTATCTATCTCTGGGTACCCCCTGCGGCGGCATTGGTGAGTTGCCACGTTAGCAGGCCACGTCAGCAGACCACGTCTGCAGGCCACTTCAGCGGACCACGTGAGTAGGACACATCAGCAGGCCACGTTTGCCGACAACAGTGCCACATCAGCAGCAGGGAGTACCATGTCAGCATGTCCTCGACCTGGTCTATGATTTGGCGCTCGTGAATAGCCGTCATGCACCAGAAGTGCAAGAAAACGGACGAGGCCTATTAGGCCCGGATGCTGCTTCTGATTACCGAAGCTAAGCACGGTCGGATGCAGTAGCAGCCGCATCAAAGCAGAAGGCAGAGGACGCCGAGAAGGCACGTCTGTTGGCAATTGAACAGCAGCGCCAGCACGACGAGGTAGCAGCAAAGGCTGCCGATGAAGAACGAATTCAACGACGCGAGAAGATATTTAGCGGAGAGCAAGCTTTGCTCACAATGGCAGCGGATTGGCGGGCCGAGGCCGGGAATGGAAAGATGGAAGAGAGTGAAAACAAGATCGCTCTACTCCTTTCCCATCTCACGGACCTCCTGGCAACATGCATTACACAACACGAGGACATCCACAACCTCGACGACGTGTTGACTCAAGTCCACATCCGCCTCCAGCAGCTGGAGCAGCGACCCGTCGCCGCCCTAGATGCCAACTCTTCCAACACCTCCGATCGCCTCGAGGCATTGGAGATTGATGTCGGCTCCCTCAGGGACGGCGTGCAGTTACAGCAAACCGCAACGCAACAGTTGGAGCAGCGGATCTGTACTGCCGCCAACCACTCGAGCTCGGAACCGCGCGAGACAACTCCAAAGTTCGATGGGCAGGAGATCTTCTGCGACTCGCCGAAGACAAACCCGATTCCATGGTTCCGCAAGTTCGAGCTAACGTTGCAGCTACACTACGTCAAAGAACACAAGCACCACGCGTACTTATACTCCCGGTCGGGGGGCGCGTGCCAAGCATTATTGGACAATCTCTTGTCCAAGTACGGAGTGGTGGCTGCCGACTTGCATACCAAGATCAGTTGGGATGATCTAAAGGCGGCGTGGCATAAGCGGTTCCAAGTAGAGCCGTCGGAGATCAAGGCAATGGACAAGCTGATGGTCTTCGAACAAGGCACGCTGCCGAGGGTTGACAGGATTGCCGAGTACCAATGCTTGACATCCGTCCCAGACATTCAAATGGGCTTCAAAGCCATCAAACACTACTTCATCTCGAGGTCGTGTCCGGTGTTGGGCAATGTCTTGACTCACGTCGAGGACAGCCTGATAACAACGGCGAAACTCTTCGACAAGGCCGCGCAGATTATTGTCACGAACAAGAAGGCCAAGAATCTCCAACGTTCGTATGCGCTAGGCCTGAGCAGAGATCAGCATCGACCGAAAGTGCCCGCGGTCGTAGCGGCAACGCCAAACGACCAATCTAGCGAGGCCGTGTCTGCCAATATGAAGGGGACAGACTTGCAGCCGCCCGGGAAGGTGGCCGCCCCGGCAAAGGCCGAGGACGCGGCAAGGCAAATTCAAACACCTCATCTAGCCCCGGGCCCGGCGCAGCAGCTCCAGCCGCATGGTCTCATTACGGTCTCTCCGAGCAAGCATACAAGGCACGCACAAGATTTCGCTATTGTGTGTGGTGTAACAACGATCTCCACGACACAATGGCCTGCCAGTCGAAAGGCAAGGGCAAATCGCGAAACTGAGCACCGTCGGGAGTGACTCGACGACACTCTCGACGCCTTCGGGACCGGTCACTTCGCGGGTGACCGCCCTTCGTTCCGAGGCACATGTGGAAGTCGATAGTCCTCCTCTTCTTTATTCTTTTGAGGACTAAGCTGCCCAACTCGTTCCTACGCTGGGTACTCATGCTCAAGGACAAGACGTGTGTGCGACATCTTTTCCGTCCGGCAACGGAAACTTATCGTCTTCAAGTGGTTCTTCACGGGATTCGGCGTGCGAGTTCAACATAGAGGTATTGGACCCACTTACGTCCGAGGATTTCGCATGGCTTCCTCTCCCGACCACGGGCCGCTTGCCGGGACCGCAATGCGCAACATTATGCGCTCATCTTCACACGTACTCATCCTTCTATGCACCACCAACTTCGCCGACGGATGACGAAGTCGCGGTAGGGGACATCCCTGCATATGTTGCCAAGGTGCCCCCCGAGTTTCGCAATCAGCGGTATGACGACAACAACGCACCGCTCCTCTATGTCCGCATCCAAGTTGGGCAAGCGTCCTGCAACTCTTTGCTGGATAGCGGCGTGTCTCGCAATTTTATGAGCCAAGCCTTTATGCAAAAGGCTGGCCTTGGCGCACAAGTTCGAAGGAAGGCAAACCCGACGATGATCAAGTTGGCGAACGGAAGGACGCAGCAACTTATCGACCGCTACATCGAGGTCGTACCGGTGTATTTCGCACCGCATGCATGCGAACCGGTGACATTTGACATTTTGGACACGGACTTCGACATTATTTTGGGAATGCCTTGGCTTGCAAGTGCGGATCACGTGGTCAACTTCCACCGGCAGACTCTTACCGTTCGCAATGCCTTCGGCGCCGATGTGTCGTGTAGTATTCCTCTTCCGCACCCTTTGATTCAGTGCCAAGTGGTGACAGCGAAGTTATTCCGGGCTACTTGTGCTTATGAGCAGCCCGACAAAATCGGCCTACGTTTCCTACGGACCGTTGCGATAGCCAACTCTTCACCTACGGACTTGTCTTCAGACCCCCGTGTGGTACGGTTGCTTGATGAGTTCGCCGACATCTTCGAGTCACCTACCGGTGTGGTGCCGGATTGGCCGATCTCTCACGAGATCATTCTTGAGGCCGGTGTCCTGCCGCCGAAAGGTTGCATTTATCGCATGAGCGAGGAGGAGCTTACGGTCCTCCATGTACAACTCGATGATTTGTTGGACAAGGGCTGGATCCGCCCTAGTAGCTCTCCATACGGAGTGCTAGTCCTCTTCGTATGAAAGAAGAACAAGGATCTACGATTGTGCATCGACTACCGCAAACTCAACGCGCAAACCGTCAAGAATGCAGGGCCTCTTCCTCGCATCGACGATCTTCTTGAGCGATTGGGCGGCGCAAAGTATTTTTCTAAGTTGGATTTGAAGTCGGGATATCATCAAATCTCGACCCAACCGAACGATCGTTACAAATCCGCGTTCAAGACGCGGTATAGGCATTTTGAGTGGGCGGTCATGCCTTTGGCCTCACCAACGCCTCGGCAACCTTCCAAGCGGCAATGACCAACGAATTTCGTGCGATGTTGGACCGGTTCGTGCTGGTCTACTTCGACGACATTCTCGTCTATAGTCGGTCATTGGAGAATCATCTTGAGCATCTTCGACGAGTGTTGGAGACGCTCCGCCGCGACAAGTACAAGGCCAACCGCGACAAGTGCGAATTTGTCCAGCAAGAGCTGGAATAGTTGGGCCATTTTGTCACACCGAAGGGCACCAGTCCGCTATTGGACAAGATTCAAGCCATCCAAGAGTGGCCGGAGCCGCGGAACGTCACGGATGTCCGTTCATTCCTTGGACTTGCCGGCTACTACCAACGTTTTATCAAGGGATACTCGAAGATCGCGGCCCACTTGACCAAGCTTCAATGTGAGGATCGGTCGTTTGACTTCGGGGAGGATGCGCGGGAATCATTTTTGGCTCTCGAAGCCGCGCTATTATCGGCGGAGGTCTCGCACATATACAACCCGCTATTGCCAACGCGCGCCACTAAGGATGCGTCCGGCTATGGCATTGGTGCCGTCCTCGAGCAACACGATGGCGTGGACTAGCACCCGGTCGAGTACTTCAGCAAGAAAGTGCCCATCGTGCATTCCATTGATGATGCACGCAAGAAGGAGCTCCTCACCTTCATCCACTCGCTCAAGCGGTGGCGGCACTTCCTCCCGGGTCGAAGTCAATTCCGATGGGTAACGGACAACAATTCGTTGGTCTTCTACAAGACCCACGCCACCGTCAACAGCACCATCGCTTGATGGATGGTTTTCAGGAGGTCGGCGACATCATCTCCCAGCGACGCTACGGCAACAGGTGGTACATTTTGTGTATTGCACTCACAAAGCTGACCGTTGGTTGACCCGTGCGGAACTCCAAGCAACCGCTCCGGATGTTCTCGCACGCTAGAAACGCAAAATGCAAGGCAAGCCGGTATCTTCGGCTCCACGGCGCACCCGCGTCCAGGTTCCACCTTCAGATCGTCAGCTTCGCCCTCGACCCGGCTTGACTTCAGAAGGTGGGGGGGGTGTTACATGCTGCGCTGCAACAGGCTGCACGGGCCATTTCCAGGTCCGTGACGTTTTCAGGCCAAAAGCCTGAAAACGAGGGCCTACAGGCCCTGTGTCGTTTCAGCCTGGAAGCCTGAAAACAAGGGCCTTCAGACCCTGTGTCGTTTCAGTCTAAATCAGGGCCTCTCCGGCCCTGAGTGTTTTCAGCCTGAAACTGAGGGCCATTTTCGGGCCCTCAACAGTTCGACCTGCCCTGAAACTCAGGCAACAAACCAGGGTTTTAGCACAGGCCATTTCGGGCCCGTTTTCAAGACAACCCCTGGTTGAGCTTCAACGCCAGGGTCTGGCACGTTTCGGCATTGGCAAGAGCAGCCTCCTGGAGGGGCCAGCACTATATAGGACTGGCCCGCCGTGCAGGAGGCAGGTTGTTCCTAGGTACTTCCCAGGCACTTCACATGCAGTTCAGGAGGCAGGAGGTAGTCTTCAGGATTCGGCAGCAGCACTCTGGAGGAGCGCTGCAGTAGTAGTGGCAGCGTTAGCAGTAGTCTTCAACGCCTGGCGCTAGTAGCGTTAGCAGTAGTCTCCAGCGCTGGGCGCTAGTAGCGTTAGCAGTAGTCTTCAGCGCTGTGCGCCATAGGAGCTAGAGTAGTACTAGAGAGAGAGAGATTGGGCGGAGGCCAGGGAGACTTACCTGCAGTGCCATTGCTCCAGCTCGTCTTCGAGGTACCTGCAGCACAGCGCCATCTTCACAGGTCAGTACCTGGCACATGAGAGAGAGAGAGTTCTTCTTCT